ATGTCCGTTAGAGACGACCAATCATTTCACAGCAACAACAGACAAGAAAGAGAAAGAACGACAGCAGAGAGGTGGAGGATAATCCTCCTCTGATCAAAGACTTTCTAAACAGTAGATAAATGTTTCACTTCATCAGAGAGAATCCAGCAGCTCAGAGTCACACTGGATTTATTTCACAGCCAAACACAACAGCTACACAATTACACAAGAAGTGAGAGGAAACAGAGACTGTCAACACTGCCAGAGGATTTCACACTGCAGAGGAGACAAACAGCAAAATACTCTCTGGGGAAAGAGATATAATATAAAATATGATCAGTGTGATGTAACGGAGGAGAAATAAAACAGTTCAGGTTTGGACTGTTTATTCTTCACAAACTGAAGAGTAAACCTCATTAACACAAAAACAACCTAGAAAGTTATTCAGAATTCTTAATCATATAGTTTCCAGTTCGATATCTTATGAAAACTCCTAAGTTTTCATGCATTCCTATGAAAATGCATTATAATAAATAAATACTTTGTTTTCCTGCTCAGGAAACTACAGGAACAGATTTCACACAGTGAACTGTGAATGTCTTCTATCTGTGTTGTTGAATCTCATCACATGGTTATCATCATCACGATTGAGTGTGAACACAGGAAAACTATCTAAACAACTTCTATCAAACATATGTGTGCTGGAAGACAGTCGGTGGTTTTCTCAGCAGCAGAAGAGACGACCTTGAAAGACGACACAAGTGTGTTATTATTCAGTTTGTGTGCGATGTTACAGAATAAATAAGAGTCTCATCTATAACCTACTTAAGTTCTATACTGAATATAAATATGTCTTATTTGTGTTATCAGTTGGAAATGTTCCTCACTAACGTCTGAGAGCCTGAAGGCAGCTCAGGGCTTTGTGTGTGTGTGTGTGTGTGTGTGTGTCTGTGTCTTTGAATGAAGCAGAACTCGTGTTGACGAACGTGAACTGAATTCCTGACAAACTGGAAGCTGTTAGTTCTCGTTTGTCCCACAGGACCTGAACATGTCGTCACTACATGTTGGTCTTTGTGTGTGTGTGTGTAATTCGGGGTCTCCAGCTGGTCTGGGATCAGTCTGATAACTTATCAGCAGTCTGTTTATCAGCCTGCAGAGACTCAAATATCAGCAGCAATTATCACCTCGTTAAGTCTCCTAACGAGGGAGTCTTAACGAGCTTCAGTCTGACAGCTCATCCAGATTAAAACATCACCACAGGTTTCTTCTAATTAATAAAAGGTCAGAGGTCACAGGCCGCTCCCTGAGTGCTTTGCTATAAGACATTCAGGAACACTTTATGAGTATTATGGTCTGTATGTTCCTAATTATGTCGATATTTCCTATAATTTGTTACAGTTCCATTTGTTAAATGAATTCCAGTTAATCACTGAAGTTTGTCTCAGTCAAACATCCAAATCAACATATGTATAAAATAAATCATATATTTACTTGGGCTGGCTTGGCAGACAAATTTACTCTAACGCATAGGAATGTGTTTTCAAGGTGAGATGCTCAGCAGTGTGAGTACTCGCAGGAAAATGGTGGCACACATGGGTCACGCAGAAATGGTTCTCGGTCGGGTCCTAAGGCTGAGAAACAGTGTTTTTTCTGTCATGATCCTGGTCACTTGATCGTAGACTGGAGACGGAAGCAGCAGGAGGCAGCTTCCGGACAGCAGCCAACGGGAGTTGGGTTAGTGACGACGGTGACTCCCATTGGCCAGGCCGCCGCTCCAAAAGTGCCTGAGTGTTTTAAACGGTTCATCCTAAAAGGATTTGTGTCGCTCACAGGAGACGCAGAGGACCAGTGCCCGTGACGGTGCTACATGACACTGGTGGCTCCCAGTCCTTCATCCTTGCCAGTGCTCTGCCTTTTAGTGCCAAATCTGCCGGTGACGTGAGTACTGTGGTGAGAGGTATCGAAATGGGTTTCGTTCCCGCACCTCTCCACCGGGTCTATGTGCAGACCAAATTAATAAGTGGTTTCTTCCCAGTAGCCGTCAGCGCACATTTTCCCATTGATGGGGTGGAGTTCATCATGGGGAACGATGTAGTGGGAGGTAAAGTGTTCTCTGACCCTGAAGTTGTGGATGTCCCCATAACTGATTCACTGTTGGCTTCTGTGCTGTCTGAGTATAGGTCTCTCCTTGTTGGTGGGTCGGTGAACGGCACCTCAAAGGACCCCAAAGGTGTAGCAACGTCCGCGACTGAGCCGGCAGTGGCATTGCCATTGACCCGTGAGGCACTCATCGGCGCACAGAGAGGCGATCCAGCCTTGGCAAAGTGTTTCACCGCAGTGGGTGAGGGCACCAGTGAGTGCAGTGGTGGGGGGTCTTTCCTAGTAGAAAGCGCGGTGGTGATGCGGAAGTGGGTCGCACAATCGGGTAAGGCAACAGTTAAATCAGTCCGGAGGACATTTGCAATAGGTCTCCTTCTGTGTGTTGTCTTGTGTGTTATTTTTTGTTATGATGTAAATACATGTATGATGGGGGTTGGTTGTGGCCAAACAGATGTTTGGTCTTATGGGAGGGAGTGTTATGTGCCGTGTTGTGTTTGCGCAGAAAGGGGAACGTGACACCACCAACAGCTGAAATATAGATTACAACGTTTCAATGACAAACCAAAAAAACTGTATTTCAAACATTTTCATGCATTCAAGCATTTCATGTATCTGAACAACTGAATCCACTAAAATAATGTTAGTGGTGATTTCTAAGAGATAAACTACTTTATTTTATTTTAGCTCTGGAGGATGTTTTTGCACCAGCCTCGATGTGGAAGTTATTGTTTAATGTGAGTTCTGATAAAAAAACAATCAGGTGAGAGGCCCAGTTCACTGTATGAAACCAGTTAACCCAGATACACCAGGGGCAGTAAAACCGGTCTAAACCAGTGAAACCAGGTGATGGTAACTAACCAGTTAAAGGACTAAATGTGTGAATAAAAGGTTGAAACTGTTGAGATGTTTAGAATCATAAACCTCTTTGGATTCTATTTATCAGTTTGAGCTCAGCTTCCTGACGGCTCATTGGTTCCTGCAGCGATCAGAGAGGAAGTATTTAGTTTATAACAAGAAATACTTAATATCACTACATCGAATGTCTTCATGGTAATAAAACTCTCTGATCAAATCCTCTGTCACTCTCTGAGGTTTTTAAAGGTTTTTCTTGTTCAGATGTGAGTTTGTTGTACAGATTGTAAAGAACTCTGAAGAAGAATATTTGTGATTCTGGGCTGTAGAAATAAATTGAATTCACATTTATGGTGGGATTCATATAGAAGATGAGGTATGCAGTGAAACACTGAGGTTGTATCAGGCTGGTTCAGACCACTGATTGAGGAGAGAAGCACAAACTGAGCTGGAATGGAAAGCTGTTGCTGATCGTCTCTGACCTGATGAGAGGAATCTGTTCTGTAAACATCATACAGCAGCTAGGTTCCCTTGCTGAGTCGCTGAGTCTCTGAGCAGATGTTGAGCTCCTTCAGAGAGAGTCAAACAGCAGCAGGAGGACCAATGCTTCACTTCAAACACTGAATCAGCTGTTTGTGGATTCAGGACTCATTGCTCATTGAGACTCTATAGAAAAAATATAAAGCTCATCACAATTATCCAAGAATGATATGAAACTCTTCAATCGGCTCAAAGTACACATTGTATGAAGACTCACATCTCTAAATATCACATTAAATATGTTGGTGGCCCATTTCTGAAACTCTGAATTATATTCTGTGTAGTTTGATGAAGAACAGGATTAAAAACAAGGAAACCTGATATCAGCTTTAACTGGATTGTTTTCAGTGCAGAGATAATCTCATTAACACACACTCAGGCTTTTACTCTGAAAGCCTCCGGCAGGAAGTTCTGCACATTCTGGGTCGTTGAGGGACAAAAAATGTTTTAAACAAATCGATGTTTTACTGTTATACTGTAAATACAGAAGCTCTGCAGGTAGAAGTCTTCACCAGCAGAGAGCTGAGCTCCTCCCACACCTTACTCTCACTCTTCCTCACTCTCACTCTTCCTCACTCTCACTATTACTCACACTCTTCCTCACTATCACTCTTCCTCACTCTTCCTCACACTATTACTCACACTCTTCCTCACTCTCACTCTTCCTCACTATTACTCACACTCTTCCTCACTCTCACTATTAATCACACTCTTCCTCACTCTCACTATTACTCACACTCTTCCTCACTCTCACTATTACTCCCACTCTTCCTCACACTATTACTCACACTCTTCCTCACTCTTACTCACACTCTTCCTCACTCTTACTCTCACTATTACTCTCACTCTCCCTCACTCCCACTCTTCCTCACTCTAACTCTTACTCACTCTTCCTCTCACTATTACTCACACTCTTCCTCACTCTCACTATTACTCACACTCTTCCTCACTCTTACTCACACTCTTCCTCTCACAATTACTCACTCTTCCTCACTCTCACTCACACTCTTCCTCTCACTAATAGTTGAGTCTCGCTTAAGAACACTGTTGATTGTTCAAATACGTTTAAAAGTGAAACTTTTTTCAGTGACTATTTGAAGATGTTGATTTTAACTGAATTTGTCATTTTGACTATTAAACTGAGGAATGTGGATCTGGTTTCTGAATAAACCTCTAAAATCATCAAATTCTATTTGTATCACAATGTAGACGATAAAAAAATCTATATGGAAATCTGGACAAAACGTTTTACTAAAGTTTCACTTTTGATGTCTTTTCAGCTGGAAACAAACAACAAACAACAAACACAACAGCTCTGCACTCAGTCACGGAGCAGCTGCATGTGCTCCTTATTTTACACCACAAACCGGATCTCAGCTGTTACAGAAACCTCCAGACATCAAGCAGCAGAAGGTCAAACCGGACCACACAAAACCACTAACCCCAGACCCAGACCAGGTTAGACCACAACAGAACCCGGTTGATTCGGAGCCTCATGGCAGTACCGGGAGCGCACGTGCTGGTCGTACCTGGGTCCGGAGCGGCTCTCCGTGCTCAATGACGCTGAGGAACGGGATCTCCAGGAACGAGGCCATGAAGTCTACCTGTAACAGCTCCTCGCGGCTCTGCGGGAACGCGAGCACTGCGGACACTCCCTGCACCACGACGCCCTGACACACGCACCGGAACAGGGACTCCGGGTCCGCGGTGGCCGGCTGGCGGGAAACCAGCTCCAGACTCAAGTTGTAGGGCAGAAAGTTGTTCCGCTCCGGGTCCCGGTCTTGGTCCTGGTTCATCGTGGCCGTCGCGCGGCTCAGCGCAGCCTGGACCTGCACGCGAGCCGCCCGCTGCGCCGGAAGGAGCGCACCCACGCGCACAGTGTGTCCGATCTGAGCCAGGAGGTGGCACGGCTGCGGGTGGAGGAGGCACGGCGGCACGATAAGGAGCTGCAAAAGGAGCGAAGTTAGGAGACTCCGGGACCAGGAGGAGGAGGTGAAAGACATCCTGCTGAGCGCTCAGCATCGCTCTGCCGCTCCTCCGGTTTCTCCTTTTGCTCCGCACAAACACCGAGGGGAGGAGGGAGGACTCAGGAGGGGAGGAGGTGCAGAGGAGATCGGGAGAGGAGAGGAGTGGAGGTGGAGAGGAGAGGAGGTGGAGGGAGAAGGGAGGACTCAGGAGGTGCAGAGGAGCTCGTGAGAGAAGAGGAGGTGCAGAGGAGAGGAGGTGGAGAGAGGTGGAGAGGAGAGGAGAGGAGGTGCAGAGGAGAGGAGGTGGACAGAGGTATAGAGGAGAGGAGGTGGAGATGGGAGGAGGTGGATAGAGGTGGAGAGGAGGGGAGGTGGAGAGGAGAGGAGGTGGAGAGGGGAGGAGAGGAGGTGGAGAGGGGAGGAGAGGAGGTGGAGAGCAACACTTTCATGTCTCTGAAGGTTATTCAAGGTTGAAAGTGAAAGTTCACTTTGTTCTTTTAGTCACCAATAAACTTCATGAAATAACAGATTATATTACTATTTTATTATATATATAATATGATTCTAACCCTTTTATTGAACATATTTCATAAGATTAAAAAAAACATTTAAATTACATATAAATAAATAAATTCAGAACATGAAAATAAAACTATATATTTGATATTTATGTGATAATCTGGAACATGAAGTTGTCGTCATGGTGACTCAGATGTTAAAAAGAAAAATGATTGAAGGTAAAACATCTTCATCTCCCAACAGTGATGAGCAGACCTCACGAACATTTAATTGACTCATTTAATTCAGATTAATAATAATATTTATTAATAATAATAATAATAATAATGATGATAATGATGATGATGATGATGATAAAGATGGTGGTGGTGGCAGACAGTTTAATAAAGTCATGTGACTATGAAGACTGAATCTGGCCATCAGAGTCTGGATTCATGAAGACCACGATGTCCACTAAATCTCCTAAACCTGAACCTTCAGCTAACGAGCTTGTTTTAATTTAATCTGGAGAGGACGGCCATCTAACTATGATAACATATGATAACATATATATATATATACTATATATACACTATATATATGTATATATAGTATCCAGTTCTTCAGTAGAAGACAGATATTATATATATATATATATATATTTATCAACATTGTGTTTATTACTATTTGAAGGTTTTTGGGAGATTGGACTAAAGACAGACTGAAGACAAACTAAAGACATTATTTTAACACGACAATAAAGAAAAGAGTGTTTTGAAGTAAAAGTGCCATCAACAGTAAACACAGTGGCGGATCGTGTGTTTTATACCTGGGCCTTCAGTGCTGTCCTACTACAGTTGAATCACCTCCTAATAACCTCATGATGACCTACGGGTTATTAAACCAAATCACATCACGTGATGCAGCTCAGCCAATCAAATATGGGTATTCTGACAAGTTTCCTGATTTGAGTGAGATGTACACAAACTGGGGAGAGACGAGGAAACAACGAAGAGCAGGAGAATAATTGAGTGAGTCAGAGAAGTAATTTCACATGACGTTCTCCAAAGAGAGAAAAGTGTTCAGAGAGACCAGAGTCTTCAACCAAGAATGAACAGACTCTTATCGGTGAATTCCTCCCACGGGCAGTTTAAAGCTAGTAGGTCTCACATGTTCAGAGACCGTGACGATTATTAAAAGCGGTAAATGAAGTGCCACTACGAGACAAAGCACAACTCTTTTGAGCAAACATACCCACTCACATCTAAATGAAGACACAGCAAATAAACCTAAGAGTCCAAAATGATCAGAATCCTAACACATGAATTCACTGTTCAATGATGTTAACAGAGAGAATAGAGCTAAACAAGTGGTTTAATAACCACAGATAAAGTCCATGCTCACTGATTTATCTTGTTAGAAGATGAGAAAAGTATAATATCGTGGCTTTTTTGATTGACATCACTTCACACCTGAATGAAGTGAATTTAAAGCTGCAGGACAATTCAGTGAAATTAATGTTTCTAAAATGAATTACTTTATTTTAAGATGCACATTCTTCAAAAGCTTTCTGTTATATCAGTTATTCTTTAATGCAGCTCTTATTTCACTTCAAATGAGAAGAACATTTATTTATGTATTTCTATGGATTATTTATAATCCATCCAGTTAAATTTGAAAACAGAATAATTGTTAAAATATAATTGATGTTTACTTTCTTTATTTGATTTGACAGTTGACGACGCAGAGACATTGCTACTACTAGGCTTCTTGAATATCTATATCTATCTAGATATATAGATATACATACACGGCACTAAATAGCGCAAGTTAGATATTATTGTAATGTTCCAGACCTTTGCCCGAGGAGATTTTCTCAATCTGGACCTTTTGTAAATTGACTTGAATACCCCTGCCCTAAACCATAAACCACTCTACAAACATGAGGATCTCACCACCAGAGTCACAAAGTGATGCTGCGCCCTGATTGGTCACTTGAATGTTTGGACAGGAGGTCTCACTCTGACTAAACTTTTTAGTGTTCGTTCTAGGTTTTCTGGGTTTGTTAAGAAGAACGTGGCGTCCACACTTTTCAAACACTGTATGGAGAGTTTTCAACTGATTTCTTGTCTATTTTTGAATATCCACAGAGTTTTATTCTTTTATTTTGTTGTTTTCCTTTGTGTTTCTCTAGGCCACAGTTTAGGTTACGGCTTTGTTAACTTTGTTAACCCTAATGATGCAGAGAGGGCTATCAGTACCCTCAATGGCCTGAGGCTACAGTCTAAAACTATCAAGGTAATGTGCAACAGGTGCTCTTTATTTTCTCTTATGTTCCTGGACAGTAGAGGCTGTTGTTGCTTTCTCTCCTGCAAACTGTGACGGTTGAAGGTATTTTTTAAAACACTGCTGTTTGTTTCTCTGACTTATTATTCTAACCCTGTATTTTTTATATCGGCACATGTTGACACTGAATCTGTGAATTTCTTCAGTTCAGTGTGACAATGTGCAAGTTTTCTTTGCATAAATTTATGGTTTTATTTTGACAAAAGTGCCTAATGATCTTTTTGGATGCTTTCTTTTTGTCTTTTTGTTTGTATTGGATTTGGGAGAAATCTGGATTAATGTTTTTATTTATTTTTGTTTTTATATTGAATATAGACGTATTTAAAATATCTCTGGATTTTATTTAAAGACTGGATGTAACTGTATTTATTGTTGTCCAGTGTTTTTTATTTGATTCTTTATTCTCTCGTTGTGAAGACGACAGACTGAAACACTTCCTGTTTCCTCACTGCAGGTTTCGTTTGCGCGTCCGAGTTCCGACATGATCAAAGATGCTAACTTGTACATTAGCGGCCTGCCGAGGACGCTGAGTCAGCAGGACTTGGAAGACATGTTCACTCGCTTTGGACACATCATCAACTCCAGAGTGCTGGTGGACCAGGCCTCCGGTAACGAGCTCGGTAATCAGTCATGAGCTCGATCACGTTCCTTCACTGCTCCTATATATATATCTTACCTCATGATCTTATTGGCTGTCCAGGTCTGTCAAGGGGCGTGGCCTTCATCCGCTTCGATAAGAGGTCTGAGGCCGAGGACGCCGTCAAACACCTGAATGGACACACCCCCCCGGGAAGCTCGGAGCCAATCACAGTCAAGTTCGCCGCCAACCCCAATCAGGCCAGGAACTCTCAGATGATGTCACAGATGTACCACGGCCAATCACGGCGCTTCGGAGGTCCGGTGCATCACCAGGCCCAGAGGTTCAGGTACGCTCACCTGTCTGTTTTCTGACCAAAGTAATCGGATTACTAACCAGGTTCAATGTTAATCATACTTCCTGTTTTGTTCCAGGTTTTCTCCGATGAGCGTGGACCACATGGGCGGAGGAGGTGGAGTCTCTGGCAGCCCTTCTGGTGGTTGGTGTATCTTCATCTATAATCTGGGTCAGGATGCAGACGAGGCCATCCTGTGGCAGATGTTCGGGCCATTCGGCGCCGTCGTCAACGTGAAAGTGATCCGAGATTTCAACACCAACAAGTGCAAAGGCTTCGGGTTCGTCACCATGACGAACTACGAGGAGGCTGCCATGGCGATCCACAGCCTGAACGGGTACCGACTGGGAGATAAAGTCCTGCAGGTGTCTTTCAAGACCAGTAAGGGACACAAGTAGAGGGGGGGGGGGGGGCAATTTCCACGTTTTTTTGTGTCGATGTGAATTCATTTTTCTTTTCTCCTCGCATGCCCTTTTTTTTTCAGGCTGTATGACATCACTTGTTTCTGTAAAATGTGGACGTTGTTTCACTGAATATTGTGAGTATTGATCCAAGATGGCGGAGAGTGAGTGTGGTTACCAATGTAACCCCAGTTGTTAATGATGTTCTGCTTTGGTAACTGAATGAATCCAAACAGAAAACATGCAGACGGTTCTGTAACGTAGTCAACAAGAGAAACTTGAAACGCTTTTTTTAATGTTAGTCCTCCACCCTGCAGACATCGTGTTAGAATAACATCTAGATTATTAAGGTTCATCAGACAGATTGAAATGATGTTTACAACATGTTATTGTTTTAATATTTAAAAATGAGTCGCCTGTCAGCTGATTGACAGCTCTCTCGGCCAATAAGCATGCAGGAGAGGAGTCCTGGTCACACACAGTTTGTTGTGTTTGAACAAACTTTTTTTTTTTTTTTTTTTCACATTTTTACAAAATGCTTCCAGGTTAAAAAAACACCTGAAGTACTGAAACTGTTCACATGTGTAGTTTTCTCTTTGGTATTTTCATTTGTATTCTGTTTAAGGATTGCAGCTCTATTGTGATGTTGGACTGTTTATTCACAAATAAAACTACTCGTATACAACTTTCTGTAGTTATTAAGTGTTTTTAATTATTTAAAAAGTTCCAGAAATATTTATGGACATGAAACCTTTTCTGCTTTTTAAGAAAAGTCTTATTTTCTCTGATGTTGAGGACAATTTTTCTTCATACTGTGATGCTTCTCTCATTGAGGCCCTGAGGATGTGGTGGAACGGCCATGACAAAGTTATAATTAACATTTTTATTAAATTAAAGGCAACATAAGAAGTGAGTGGAAAGTGTGTCTGCAATGTTGTGTGGTGAAGAAACAGATGACCGACAGCTCTGTTTCTGAAAGTGCACCTCAGGGTGAGTGTTAGTGTTTATGTTGTGAGTGGTGTTAGGGTTTATGTTGGGAACGAAAGGAGCGTGTGGGTTATCAGCATTTAAGAAAACTAAATTATTGACATCAATAGAATTATTAATTAAAGTTAAGTCACTCTCAGCAAACTAATTGCTTGATGGCTGTTTCTTTTGCCTTTTGATCCCGATTACAGAGGCCGAAGGACATGATGATCTCCACCGTTACGTGTACTGTAGTATTTTGCAGTACACTCCGCATTCCTGAAGTTGGCCCCTGGAAAGGAATTGATCTGCAGGTCAGTTATGGTGTGTGGTGGCAGTTTATACACATTTGACTGACTGTATTCATCTTCTAGAGCAACAACTGAACTTCTGACTCACCCAGAATCTGATAAGTACTTTACTCTTGCTTTAACTTTGTCTCTATAGCTGTACTTAGGCCTGCCTCAGTTGTGATTGGACTGAGTTTCAGCCTGTCTGAGGAGGTGTGACTTCTTCTCTGCTGCTGAATAGCTCTGCTGATTGCAAGGGGCAGACAATAAGCAATCAGTAGATAGCTGTCCTTAACCACTGCTGGTGGTCAGAAGCGTCAGCTCTCGAGCGTCAGGCAAACGAAGGCTAGGGCGAACAAAGGCAACAGGGCGACTTTTTCAAGCTAAGACTTCTAGGGGGTCGGGTTAGGGTTAGGGTCAGGGTTAGGTTTAGTAAGGTGCGTGGCCCTCCTAAGGGCCACGAGGGGCACTGGCACAAGGGGGCTGTCCTTTAAAAAGGCTTTAATCAAAACCCTAAAATAAAAGACAGTTAAGACAATTTTATTAAAAACAGTCTAGGCAGCAGAGCGACTGCCAGTGGGAAAGGCAGAGAGGAAATGTTAAAGGGGGAAGGGAGGTTAAAAAGTGCAAACATGGGAACAAAGGAAATAAAAAACACAATCACACACAGCACCTCCCCAATGAATATATAGATATATATATAAAATGTATAAATAAATTTATATAAAAGAATAAATTAACATATAATAAATGTATATACACACAAACACCACCTCTAAAACTTTAAAAAGATAAATAAATAAGTGCTTAAAAGAAAGATAAGTTAACATATAATAAATGTATATACACCACACACACACCTCGAAAACTTTAAAAAGATAAATAAATAAATAGCATAAATAAAAACATGAGTGAGATATTGTGTAAAATTATGCCCAATAACCCTATCCCACGTCCGCCGCTTAATTGGGAGTAGTAAAAAAAAAAAAAAAAGGGGGGGGGGGGGCCTCGTCTGCCTATGGGGAAAGGGGAGGACATAAGGTGTATCTCCACCAGGGGATAAATAAATTAAAAAATAAGATAAATAAAAAATATAAATAAATAATTTAACAATATACAATAAAAAGAATTAAAAGGGTGAATAAAACCATGCATAAATATTAAGAGCACACGTGAAGAAAAAGTATAAATATATATAAATATAAATATAAATAAACATGTATATAAAAGAAGTGCTATGGTGGAGATATAATGGGGTCGTGGGAAAAGACAAAGGGGTGGCAGGCGAGGCTCCAATAAAAAACAGACTGGGAGTTAATATTTTTCATTCAGCCCGTACGGGTCTATAGTTCCCAGTCTGTGGATCCATTTCCTCTCCGCTGCTTGCCGCTGCGCCCTGCTCCACCGCCCGCTGCTCTCCAGGCCCACACTCTGGAGACCGTGTGAGCCATGGAGTTTAAAATGTACATATAGGACGCTCGTGCCATTCCCACTATTGATCATGTAGAGATGCTGTTTAATTCTAAGATATAGCTCATTCTTTGTCTCCCCCACGTATAGTTTGTGGCAGGCCCTGCATCTAAGAGCATAAACCACATTAGAAGCTGTGGGTGGCAGGGCCTGCCCCAAGTTAAAACCGAGTCTGCTCTGGGGGTTAAAAACATGGGGGAGACGCATAAAACCGATCTCCGAACCTCGAAGCGCCTCCCTCCTGGTCCCTTGCTTGTTGAGGTCAGTGTGGACCAGGATGTCCTTGAGATTTTTATTTCTACGAAAGGCGGAGATCACACGGCTGTCCTCCAGGGCGGCACAGTGTTCCCTCGTCCCCTGAAAATTGCTCTTGATGGTCTTGAGCAGGTTATGGGTAGCCTCCGAGAATGTTGAAATTAAGGGGACGAGGGACTGGGCAGGCGGTTGTGGGGTGTCGGTGCCGCCTCTGAAGGTGTCGGCGACCTCCGCCTTAATCGTTCTCAGGAAGCGCTTCGAGTAACCCCTGAGTCTCAACGCGCCAAAAAGGGTGCTGGTTGCCTCCTCCACATGGCCCGGGAGGGTGCAGATCCTGTGGAACCGGATTAGCTGAGACTTGATAAGACCTCTGTAGGTGTGTTTGGGGTGATAACTGGATTTATGGAGGAGGGCGTGACGGTCCGTTTCCTTGAAGAAAACTTTGGTGGCCAGGGTTTTGTTCTGGACGCTGCATTCTTGGAAGAAGACCCTGGTGTCCAGGAACTCGACCGAAAGGTGTTGAAGGTTGTGTTTGAGTTTTATTTTCGGGTGATGTGCATTTAAGGTGTCCAAAAATGTGTGAAATTGCTGTTCGGTGTGGTCCCAGAGGCCGAAGATGTCATCCAGGTACCGGAAGTAAAGGAGGGGTTTGTGCTGCAGTTTGAGAAAGGCCGTTCTCTCCCAATGGGCCAGGTAGATGTTGGCATACGCCGGAGAGTATTTCCGGCCCATTGCACACCCGCACAACTGGAGATAGTGTTTATTGTTGAATGTGAAGTCGTTCCGAGTCAAGGTGATGTTAAGGAGTTGGATTATTTCTTGATCAGGTCTATCTGGGTCGGGGTATTTATTAAAAATGTCTTGAATGGCAATGAGGCCGAGTGGAGTTTCAATGTTGGTGTACAGAGATTCAATGTCAATGGTAAACAGAAAGGTATGACCAGGTACCTGAAGGTTTTTAATTTTATTGATGAAGTGGTAAGTGTCCTGAAGATAACCGGGGTGAAGTTGAGAAAGCGGATTAATAAAGTGGTCAATATATTCTGTAATGTTGTAGGACTCGGAACCGCAATCGCTGACTATAGGGCGGCCGACCGGAACCACAGAAGGGACCGTCCAAGTCTCCGGAGGCTTGTGTATCTTGGGGAGCAGGTAAAAGAGGCGAGGTCTGGGCTCATCCGGACCGTCCAGGTACTGTTTTTGTTGTGAATTGATGTATTGTTTGTCATGAAGACTATGTGTAATGTCCCTAATGAGTGTTTGTGTTTCTAACTGTAATGATTGCGTGAGTGGTGCATAATATGTGTTGTTATTTAATTGTCTGTCTGCTTCTAATATGTAGTTATGTCTGTCCTGTAAAACAATCTGGCCCCCTTTGTCGGCTGGTTTAATGACTATGTGTTTGTTATTACCCAATGTTTTAAGAATGTGTTTGTGTGGCTGGCTAATGTTAGGCTGCGTGTGTGCAAGGGGGCGCCATCGTGTCAGTGCTGCTAGATTTTTCTGAATGAGTTGGGTGATCTGAGGTGAGAGGGTGTTTGGGCGTGGTTCCCAGCTGGACGGTCCAGTGAACGGGACAGGCTCTCGTCTCGGTGCTCCCCAGAAGTGGTCTAACAGCTTCAGCCTCCTGTGAAAGTTGTGGAGATCCCCTCTGAGCTCAGGTCGGGTAGGAGGTTTGGGTGTGGGAATGAAGGTAAGTCCTTTTTCCAGTATCTCCCGCTGTGTAGGCGTGAGGGAGAGAACGGAGCAGAGGTTGGTTATGTTAGATGAAGGGGGAGATGTATGGTCACATTCCTCCCCCGTTACAAGTTTAACTGCTGTTTCCAGTACCCGAACAACATCTCCGCCGTCTGGGATGTCCAGTGAATGTTGTCCCTAGTCACCTGAAACAAAAGAGGGTTGATTTCGGATAAAAAGTGAAATTTACTGGAAATGGTGGTGTTGAGAAAGTTGAGAAGTGACTGTTTACGGGAGTTTAAAGAGGGAGAGAAGTTAATGATGGGGATGTAGATGGTGGCGTTGGGGAAAGTGCGGTGAGCCGTTTTCCAGAGTGTTTTTAACTGTTTACTAATGGTGGTGGGTTCGTGCTCTGAAAGGCAATTGTTCAGGCCTACTGATAAAATAACGTGAAGTGGTTGTGGGTGAGGAGTGAGTTTACTTAAAATTGCATTTATGTGATGGAAGTTTGCACCGGGGTAACTGTCTACTTGAATGTGTGGGTGGGTGAATTTTGGAATGCGGGACAGGTTCGAGTCCCCAATCACCAGGGTCGTCTTCCGCACCTCCAGCGACCAGTCCTGAATTTTGCGGTAAGTGTGGGGGTGCGAGTGTGGTTCCGGGCGTCCTGGAGAGCCAAGTGGGGCCGCGGAGTTGCTGCTGGCGGCAGAAGCGGGCAAATCAGATGGTGGGGGTAAAGTCAGCGTAACGCTTTTAATGTCCCCTATTCTCCTCATGTTTTTATTGCCCGCCTCCGTGACTGCTGTGGTGTTAGCAGACTCCGCGGCAACCCGCTCTGGCTCCCTCTGCTGGTGGGGTGTGTCTATGGAGAAAGAGGAGGAGATAGTGTTACTGCACGGGAGAGCCACATTACTGTAGTGCGTTTGTGGTGGGTGAGTTGCATCCGTGTGTGAGGGAGAGGGGGAGGAAGGCGCAGGGGAGATGACGGGACGCTCCGCCCGACGGGCCCGCAACCGGCCGCTTTCTC